TATTCCCCAGTCAGGTTCAACTTCAACACTTATGTCTCAGCTCATACTTCTTTCCTGAGCTTCTGGCCTCTGTTCAGCCATTTCCTAGTCATTATTAAAGAATCATGGTTGAGCCTCTCCCCAGTGCCCAGTCACTCACCAAGCCGTATCTTTTATATTACTCTTAATGGTTCACCAAAGCTTCCTTTCCTCCCTCTCCTAGTGTTGCTTCTAGTACCACCTGAGAGCTGCCACAGGGATCTTGGCCTGTACTCCATGCTGCTTGTGGGTGTCCCCTTCAATCTTTCTGTTCCCTTGGGGATGAGGGGCTTATAGGGTCCAGAAGATCCTCATCCATGCTCTGTACTCTGTGAATCCCTTTCTTTACTGGGCCTCTTTCCCAGACTTGTTCTCCCAAGGATAGACTCTGTCTCTACTGTGTACTTTTAGGCCCAAGGGGTAGCTAAGGGACAGCTATTTGGAAGTGGATCAGTGGAGCTTAGAATTTGGATCTTTAGCTCCATACACATATATGTGGAGCCCCTGGTGTCATAGGACAGGGGCAGAGGTCCAGGAGAAGGACATGCAGAGACATCCATTTGTACTCTTGCCCAGGCCCTACAGGGAGGCCTAACTATTGCCTTATTTTTCTTCATGCTCTTGATATAATGCTGTTGGTGATGCTTCCTTATGCTTAAATATTCTTCAGGTCAAAGGCTTTAGCTTTTTATTTTTAAATTCCCATACGCCTAACATAGTGTCCACCACCAATACACAGTATTTGGTACCTGTTTGTTGAGTGAATTAAATCATGAATAGCTTAAATTGAGCATTTTAGTGTTCATGATCAGTTAGAACAATTTGTAGCATTTACTATGTGATGCCACATTACAGTAATGCTTAAATAAAAACAGCCTGACTCAGCATCCATTTTAAAGCCAAGTGTGAACCCGAGCTGCTGGGCACTGACTGGTTCCTTCAGAATTCTCTTGGAATTGTGCTTTCAAACAAGGGCTCACTAATTCTTTTATTGACACTGTATATCCAGCAAGAAATGGGGAAGGAAAAGTAGAACTATCTTATCAGAAGATCATCCCTTCTGACCTCTCCTCAGGTAGACTAGTACATACACAACACCATGAACAGATGTTATCAGCGTCTCTAATTGCTTGTAATGATTTAAGCACTATTTGAAGCCTTTGATATGTAAACAAATATACATACTTCATACATTAAGTCAAGAGCAAGGAAGGGTCATGAGGGATTAAGGCCATATGCCCAGGTCACAAGAAGAGCACAAGGTTCAGGAGCTTGACTACATTATAAACAAGCTAACATTAACTTTTTGATTGCAAGGTTAGCTAAAAGTCATTTGTCCAGAGTGTCCACTAATAAATACATATTAGTGACTATCAAGCCCTATTGGGCTCTTGGATAAAGTATGAGAAGGAGCAGGACCAGGTTTTGGAGAATTAAGAGACACTGGGATTTTTTTACCTACCAAGCTCCTCATGAAGTCACATGGTAACCTAGGATCCTGCAGGCCCAGTTCTGCTGTGCTCCTGTGTGAAGAGTATCTGTGAGATGACTTTCAATAAAAAAGCATGCAGATGTTTAAATTTGTGACTTGTAAGGAGGGATATTCTGATCTGTAGACTAGACTTGTATGGCCCGAAGGCTACTCACACACTTGGTCTGTGACTTATATATGCTGCTTGAATAATAGTTTATTCTGATTCCACTGAGAAGTAACAGTTAACTCATGGCAATAATTTGAGTTTTAGCTCCCAGAATCCGTAGTTTTGATTACCACTTGGTTTTGATAGTTTATTTCTTCATGTTGTTCTTTGCCCCCAACAGTTTAAGCCATAATAAATGAACTCTTTCCAACTGCTTTTCTTCTAGATGAAATGAGTTTCAGAATCACACCAATAAACATATTGAGCATCAAAGGAGTTCATTTTGTGAGCCATTGTGCATCATCTGATTGCTATACTATCACAATTCATGACTAAAACACTTGATGACATTGCTTCAAGACTATTTTTATGGTGGAATTACTGTGCAGTGTCTTGGGATCCACTGGTTTTGGAGAAACTATTTGGTCATATAATGAATTCAATTTTTTCATCTAGAAAATTATTTTCTTTGCACAAGAGATCTTAAAATGTCTTTCATTTTCTTAATTTAGTAATATTAATGACATTTGGAGCTATTTTCCCTTCAAATCCTTTTATCAACATTTATGGAAAGAGGGACAGACCTGGTTTACATATTTCACTCCCTGCTTACTTAACTTCTATTTAGGGCCCCACCTCTCCCCAGGTGCCTGTTTATTTTTTCCTTCTGTGTTAAGGAACTCTTTTTTTCCCTAAATGACTTAACATGCCAGTTGGGGCAGTGCTGCATCAAAGAAAAACTAACTCTTGGAATAGCTCAACCAAGCATGAGCCTAATCTGTTTTCTCTCAGGATTATCCTCTTTTGTTCTCTCGAGCAAAATGCATCTTATATTTACTGAACAGCACATCAGAGTATGGGAAAGGAAGGAGAAACTTTGCCTTAAAGAATCTTTAACCAGAATGTACAAGGAAAGAAGTTATTTTTCTCACCATACTGACCCAGAATAGCACGCAAACCCACAAACAAAAGCTATCAATCTATACCCACCTGTTGCTTTCAACATTGGGGGATGGCACTGTTTTCAAAGCCACCTCCATTTTCAGCATCATTCCTGCTTTTGGTGGGGTGGTCTTATGTCTAATTACCACATCTCATGCACACACATTTTTCTGAGTCAGGGGCATAACTGAGTCACAGTAGGGAACATGGCATAAGATTAAAGCTATACATTCAGCTTCGCTTGCAAGAGTTAATTACCTTGAAAGTCCAAAGCATAGTAAGATTGATTACGTTGTTTTTATTAAAGGCTAGTTAAATTTAAACAAGCTGAGTGTACAGCAGGAAAACAGATTGAGTACATACTTCTAATCATGTCGAAACTTATGACTAACTTAGTCCTAGAAGTTGTTCCCAAGGCAGTTGCTAAAAAGTAAAAAGAGACATTTTGAAACAACAAAAAGGAAAAATATCACCTGTACTGTTCCTTCCCTTCCCTCTGCCTTCAAAGCAGAGGTGTTTCCCTTTCTCCCTTTCTTGTCTATGCTTTTGTGAATAGCTGGCTTCTTTTTTCCTTTGGGGCTTCTCTTGAGTGTGAGTGTGTGTAGTGAAACTAGGAGAGCAGTGGGGCTGAGAGTTTAGTCTGTAAGTTATGAGTACAAAGTACACTATTGAGGAAAGATGAGAGTAAGAGCTGAATGGAAACAAAGGTGTACTCTTCACTAACCCTTACAGTTCAGGTCAAAAGCAGAGTATCAAGAGCTATAAGGACATGCTGGAGGCCCTAGGTCCAATCCTCAACAGACACACACACACACACACACACATACACACACACACACACACACACACACACATACACACACACACACACACACACACACACATACACACACACACACACACACACACACACATACACACACACACACACACACACACACACATACACACACACACACACACCCCAGAAAGGGCCTGATTTTATCCTATTATTTTAGTACCTTAACCTCATAGGGGTGTGTAGTAAGTGCATGTGGAATTTAAATTCACTTTCTCCTTTTGTAGAAAAGCAATGAAATCCTCAAAGTTACAGATTGCCCAGAGCCATTCAGCTGTCAAGTTGCAATGAGCCTGGGTCCTCTGATTGTTTCAGTTTCTTTGCTGCTAGAGTCTGGATGATTATTTTGTGTGTGTCTGTTTTTCTAAAACCTGGCATCGAGTTGGTATGAAATGTAGAGCTCAGGTGTATCATTTCTAGGGCCATTGGTACTTACTAGGTCTGTTAATGAATGGCAATCTATTCAAAAAAGCATGTATTTTGAATCTAATTTTTGACTTTGTTAGCACCTTGGCAAGTTTCTTAATCTTTGCAAGCTTGGGCTTTCACATTTCACTAAAATGAAATAATAGCTACCACCAGTTAAATGAACCAGAGTTATAAGAAGTTCTTACTTTGGTACATGATATAAAATTAGAGGCCTCAAGGGCTAGAGAGATGACTCACCTGTTAAGAGCATTGTCTGCTCTTGCAGAGGACCCAGGCTCAATTCCCAGCACCTACACAGTGTCTAACAACCATCCATAACTCCAGTTCCAGGGGATCTGATGCCCTTTTCTGACCTCCACAGGCATTACATGACACAGGTGCACTTACACACATGCAGGCAATACACTCACATACATAAAATAAAAATAATAAGTTTAAAAAATATTTTCAAAAGTTAGAGGCCTCAGTAAATATTTTGAAATAAATAAATGGTAACTGACTATATTTGATCTCTCTCATAGAAAGTCAGTATACCATTTACAAACCATGTCAACTTACCATTTTCTTTACATATATTGTTTTTTGTTTTGTTTTGTTTGAGACAGGGCCTTCTATGGTCCCAGCTGGCCTGGAACTCACTATGTAGACCAGGCTGGCCTCAATCTCACAGAGATTTGCCTGCCTCTGCCTCCCAAGTGCTGGAACCAAAGGCGTGTGCCACCACAACTGACTGTATTCTTTTTAAAAATATTTTTATGTGTATGAGTGTATTGCCTGCATGCATATGAGTGGATCAAGTGTGTGCAATGCCTGTGGAGGTGGAAAGAGGGTGTCAGATTCCCTGGAACTGGAGTTATGGATGGTTGCTAGTCACCACGTGGGTGCTGAGATGCAAACCCAGGTCCAGCAAGTGCTCTTAGCTGCTGAGCCATCTCTCCAGCACTGCATGCATATATATATATATATATATATATATCCTTATTGATATATAAGAGAGAGAATACATATATATATATATATATATATATATATATATATATCCTTATTGTCAGAGTTAAACTACTGTTTGGTAATTTTGCTTAGAAAATGCTTGCTCCAAATACCTCACAGCCTTGTAACTTTTCTGTTTTCAGATTAATCCATGGAGGACAAATGTTAAATGGATTGGCAGGTCCAACAGTCATGAATGCAGCACCCTTCCTCTCTACGACGTGGTTTTCTGCAGATGAACGGGCCACCGCCACAGCCATTGCATCGATGCTCAGTTATCTTGGTGGAGCATGTGCATTTCTAGTTGGGCCACTTGTTGTCCCAGCTCCCAATGGGACGTCACCTCTTCTTGCTGCAGAGAGGAGCAGGGCTCATATTAAGGATCGCATTGAAACTGTCTTGTATGCAGGTACTCTGGAGCGTTTTCTCTTCCTTTTTTTTTTTTTTTTAATTTTTAAAAATGATTTATTTAGCCTGAGAGCAAATTGATTTCCCATCCCATCTTTTTGCATTTCCATAATTCCATGGCTTTATTATCCCCAGAGGCATCCACATCTCCATTGTGTATTCTAAGTGAATGAGCCCATTTTTGGTGATTGTAGGATCCAGCGTCCACCTCCTCCTGCTCATGATAGAAAAATGTGTGCATGTGCTCTGTGCTCTGTGCTGCTGCTGCTGCTGGACAGCTCTTGTCCTGAGAGACCTTTCACTCAATGGTGAAGAATAGAATCAAGGAACTACACTGTCTGATTCAGACCTGTGTTAGCATTTAGAAAAGCATCTTGGCTTTGAAGGTCACCTCTGTCCCAAGGGATTACCTGAAGGAAGGCGCATGCAACCAGTGGATTCTCTGGCTCAGGCCCTCCTGCTAATGGCATTTTCAGCAGTCAGATACATTTGATATCTCTTGTTTTGTCTGATTCTTTCCCATCTAGCCTCTTAACGCACTTGAATCTCCTGTCTGTGTGATACCTGGCTTTGCCAAAAAGTAGCAATTGTTTGAAATATGTTAGCATTTAGAAATAGTCCTTGGATCTTGAAAAGGATTTTGACAGTTAGCTGCCACATTTAGATGTGACCTGGGACACAACTGGCCTGGGAAGTGCAGAGTAATGAATACCATTCTTGTTAGATTGGAAACAGGACAGTTCTCTGTTGATAGAGAAAACAGGATTTTTAACCAAGAAACAGTATTTCTATAAAACTTTCCCCACTGACGACTTTTCACTGTTGTTACCTATAATTTCAGCATCTTTTCCTTTAATTCTGTCAGTCTGATGTCTTTGAGGCCAGCAAGTATTTTTACCAGCTACCTGCAGGAGTGTTTGTTCTCAGGGCTCTGCAGTGGTTCAAGGAGACCAGCCCCACCCACTCTCTTGTTGCTTGGCACCAGTCCTCCTTGCTTGTTGAGCATCTTGTTTACTTCTGCCCTCAATTCCCTGCAGGTGCGAAAGTACAAGAGCATGATCCTGGAAGACCTGGAGTCTGCTCTGGCAGAACACGCCCCTGCGCCACAGGAGGTTAATTCAGAACTGCCACCTCTCACCATCGATGGGATTCCAGTCTCTGTGGACAAAATGACCCAGGTATGGGGCGGGAAGTGAAGAGGAGATGCAAAGGCAGGAGGTGCTGGTGTGGGAGGGCCTCTCATCACTTCTTAGCTTTGTCCTTGGTGATGTGGACTGACATGTGATGGTGAGGCAGTGGCAGCCTTGGAGAAAATGGTGCCAGGAGAAGCTTCCTGGCGAGGTGAATGCATATGTGCTCCTCTCTGCTGACAGTCTTTCCTGACACTTTGTATTAGATAAGGGGCCTTTGTATTAGATAAGGAAACTTTCTACTTGAGGTTAGTTTGAACTGGGGACCATTTAGAAGTCTGAGGCATCACAGTCAAGGCAGAAAGTTCCATCTCTGGTGGAGCCGCTCCTCTGCATGTAATTCTCCGTCGCACCATGTTATTGTCAAGCAAAGCTGCTTCTCCAGAAATTAAAAACAAAACTTAGCAGGGCACTTCTGAGTTATTCATTCCCTCCCTCTTCCTCTGAGAAGTCACATGAATCAGCATGCCTGGGTGCTGGCTCCTTTTATGGTTCTCTTGTTTAAAAGTGATAACATGATCAAAGACCAAACACTTTCTAACATGTTTTCCCACTGTATTTATCAATGTACTTCTAGCTTGCTAAATCCAGTTATTTTTTTCCCCTTAATTTTATTCAGCATTGCAGTATTTAATATT